CATAATAATCCACACCTTTGGTAAATCCACAATCCCTCTGGATATAAAGTTAAATCCTCCAACTTCACTCAACAGCTGGCTCGTCGACTCAGACATGTGAATCTAAATATTAAAATAGAATAATGTCAGACCAGAGCTGAAAATATTAGAATGGTGGATATCGAGATCAATGCTTGATCCTCTCTTTTTCTTTATCTCCAGATTAAATAATGCTTGTTCTCCTCTTGTTATTAATCTCCAGATTAATTGGCAGATTGGGATTAAGGATATCCCATTCTAAAGTTTTCAGCTCAATCCAATTGTTTTATGATCTAAGCTAAAAACTCTTGTACTGGATACCCTTGATTTTTAAATCTCTTTATCCACTGTCGACACTTCGGATTTTATGCTTGAACCTATCTTTTGGATATCCCTGCTGGATTGCAACCAATAAGAGTTCTCTCATTGGGTGCGCGCGCAATCTTGAAATTAATAAGAAGAGGAGATCAATAATTTATCTTGATATCCGCGCGCAAATCTAATGTTTTTATCTCTGAACCAGTAAATTTGTTTGCTACCATCTGGTCTGGTGTAGAAATTTATATCTTTGAACGAACGAAATATATCGTGGAAAAGGTTGTCGTTTAGAGAAAAACGAACGATGTGCGAACGAAATGGATAGTTCAGAAAACAAAATTTTTTTAGAAAACGAACAAAAAACAAACAAAAACGAAAGATTTAATATCATTCAAACTATCTTGAACAAAACGTTTTCTTTCACTGAACCAACGAATTTTTCAAAAGAAATTAAAAAAACTGCACAAACGATTTTTAAGAACAAAATACTGAAAAAAAACTATAGTTTTTACTGAACGAACACTTTTATTGAACGAACGATTTCATAGAGCGATAGTTTACTCTAATATTTATCTTTTCATAAAAGCAAATAATGCTTAATTATATGCCTTAAATATAGTAAATTTGATTTCATATCTCTGATAAAGTAAATAAAAAAAATATTTCATTGTTTGTCATAAACAAGTCTGAGTCTTTTGCACCTGTATTTAAAAAGAATCACTGACGGCGTACTAAAAAGAATCACTGACGGCGTACTAAAAAGAATCACTGACGGCGTACTAAAAAGAATCACTGACGGCGTACTAAAAAGAATCACTGACAGCGTACTAAAAAGTCGATTAAAAATAAACTTCCGGCGGCGGTCGGTATGACGTTTACACAATACAATTTCTAGAGTTTAGATTGTATACTTTATTCATATTCGTTGGACATGTATTCATACTGTCTCACGAATTAAGACGTCACAATTTCGTGGAGTAAATTCACGAAGCATAAACCTCTTCTTTGTGTTGAGGTCGGAGTGATATACCTTCATTGGTTGACTTGTCTGTTCCATAATTCCTGCCATGTCTACAGCCTCTCCGAATATAGAGTAGTGAGGAATCTGTAATATTTAATCTTTAAAAGAATGTTACGGGGTTCACAAACAATATATCGACCTGAAAATTGAAAAACTTTGATTACTACGATTTTAAGTTATAATAAAAAGTGTATACCCAGGCCCTTAAAATAGTCTAAAAATGTCCCTGCGGTTATGGATTTTTCTAATTTTAGTGTGTTCGTATCTAGGCTTTATAAAAAGTATATCGTTTGAAAGGTGTGTTGCTATTTTTTGGTTATCTGGCATAAAGTAATATTTTATAGGAGATTTTCTGGTTTTCTGGTTTGATGTTTTTTGTTTAATTATTGTACTAAAAAAGTTTAAATAATTACCTTAACGCCAACCACACCGCCCACCAGGCTACCAGTATGAATTCCAACCCTAATCTTCAGTCTGCAGAGTTGTGTACATAAATAAATCATGTAATTTTAATTCAAACTAAATGCATAATGTGCCTTGTGTAATTGACAATTTTTTGGTCGCTAGGTGTTTCTCTTTAGTGAAATTCACAGAAATTAGAGATTTACAGAAAGCTAAAGTATGCGATATTTTTCACTATTGAGTACATTGTACTGTACTGTAAACGACCAATCAGCAGGCATCAGGGATATTTTAGGATCCTTTGGATACAAAATACAAAATCTTCAAGAATAGACTAAGTTCATAGATTTTATGTGTCATGTTAAAAATGGGAGTATTTATTTAAAACTTGTAAAAACTTAAAGGGGTTAAGTTTTTACAACTTTTATATGAAAAACATGGCCTTAAGATGGCAGACAAAAACCTTTCTTGGAGCTGCAGCATGGCGTGTCGGGACACTTTGGACCTGCTTAGCCTATCCAGGTAAACTTTTGAGCAGTCTGTGGAAATTCATTACATATCCAGAGCTAGAAACACCTATAGCGACCAAATAATCGTCGTCCAAAAAGATTATGATATATAAACTATATGCCCCAAATGGAATTCGATATTTACAACCTGTAATATCTGAATGATTAGTTTTAAAATTTAATTGACTTATTAAAGGTTTGCGGGGGAATAAAGCAACTCTTTTATGGAAAATTTGAACACTCCCTTTAAGCATTCAAGATACGTAAACCCTTCTAAAAGAAAAATAATACTAAAATTGCATATTTCCCCAAAGTTTTATGTTTGTTAATCAATATTTATCATTTAAATAATATCAAAGAAAATATGAGTTAGTAATACACTTCCCTATATCCTGGCTTATGCGGAATCTCGAATGTTACAACTTTAGCTGAAATATAATTCTGATTAAGGGGACTGTGTACGTAGTTTTATGTAACCCACCCATTAAAGAAGGGCGTGACAGATTCACAACAAAATTCATCTGATTTATAGAGTGAAATATAACGTGGGTTTTCCAGTTTGATTTGTGGTTAATTTTGATAATTTCTCCAAATGAAAAAGTCTGTTTTCAAACACAAAAACATGGATATTCAATTTATACTTGATATACTTTTTAGGGTACCGTTATGAATAGAACATCTATCAAGGGAGGGTCACTTAAAATTACGTTTACAGTCCCTTTTATTGGAAGAGAAAGCCGTATCAATCAAAAACGGAAATTAGAAAATTGAAAATTTCGCTGAATATATACCTAGAATATCAAGGGACAGTGTGCTGAATATATACCTAGAATATCAAGGGACAGTTTGNGGCAATTTCAGCAGCATGATGGTCACCATTAGGGATTGGAACCCCACTAGCTACCAGATATGCATCACCCACCGTCTCAACCTATATAATTATAGGTATCAATCATTTAGGAATATAAGGGTGAAACTATATCATCAAAAATGTTATTATTTATTCAATTTTGATGGAATTTATCACACCTAATATTTCCCGTTGTAGGGTGATTAAGTGACTTTATCGCCCTACAACAGGGCGAAAAAGTAACTTTTTCATCCTGCTATTAATTTTCAAATTGCATTTTTGCAAAAAAAACTGGGTTTTGTTTAAAATTTGCTTAATTTTCAAGGAATTTTACGTATATGGTGTTTCTGAATTCAGTGTTTTATAACAAATATTTTAATTCCCATCTTACTATATTTTGACGAATATTTTAAAGTTTTTTTTAGTAAGTTGATTTTTACCAAAAAGCAAAAATCTGAACGAGTTTACATATTCTGCTAAAAAATGTTCAAATCTTTTTTTAACGTGTATCAAAGAAAACTTAGGAGCATATGTAAATACTTAAACTTTTAAACAAGTTTTATGAAGTATTTTTCTCCGTGAAACAAAATGTAACATTTTAATTTCCAAAAAAATCAACCTTCAAAAGGTTTAAAAACTGTCAAATCTATTTGGTGTTGTAACACATATTTTAAAGTTTAGAAATCAAATCTAATTAATGCTTACGAAGTTGTAAATCTGCAACTTTCTGACAGAAAAATTCGCAATCAATTAGATTGCATCCCTAGGGTTGTAATGTAGATATCAGAGGTTCAATAATTTCATAATTTTGTTCAAAAGTTGGAAAAATATATATATTTATAACCTTTCGAACAGGCTGTTGAAAACCCATATTTCCATTTCAATGTACGCACGATTACGATGACTTTTACTACAGGGACTGTAAGTTTAATTTCAAGTGAAATTTCATGCAAAGATGACAATGCCCGATTTACAACGGTTCCCTTGATAGCGGTGTCTGTTTAAATATGAATTATAGATATCATTCTTTTTTTTTTTAAATATTTATGTTCATTTGCAGTTTTTCTGTTTATCAATTAAGTTACTTGCGCATTTCTAGTTTATAAGAAGCGAAGGAGAAACTTACAGAAATAAACACTTTGCGTGTAACAACTGTAATTTCCCACATTTTAGTAATATAAAGGTTTCAAGGGTATCGTTAAATCGGGCATTGCAATAATTTGCATGGACGGTCACTTGAAATTACGTTTACAGTTCCTTTAAATTAGATTTTCTTGTTTTAAAGTTACCTTGTAAACATCGTAGTTTTCAATCCTTTCATCAAACAAATTATACAGCTCATTCTTGTTTTCGTAATTTAGGAATGCTTTCAAAATTTACAAATTAAAAATTAAATTTAATGGAATATTGAAAATTTGTGAGATTTTCCTCACATTTTGTTCACTGTTTCCAAATATTTTCTGAAGTTCGAAATATTTTCTGAAGATCGAGATGGCAAACAAAATCTAGATGTATTTTAAAAGTGTAAACTACGAAATTGCAAAGAAATAGTAATAAAATAAATTAAACCTATAATTTGGTTTGCAGTACTTTCTCCTGAAATCTGAACGGATACAATTAAAGTTTAAATATATTAGTTGTGTACGAATAAATAGAATATTATTATTATTGATTTTACAAATAATGTCCGTCGAGGCTATTTTTTTCATTCATAATTTTGATCGTCCGTTCACATGATTCCCAAAAAATATTCTGCGTAATGGGTAAAGTCTAAAACGCATACTAATATTAAGCAAGATAAAAAAAGAGACTTTATTGAGACAATATTTTAAAATACAGAGCCTAAAAATGTTGAACCTATATAATGTGTTTAATTTTAAAAATATAAAAAGTTGTGGTTTCTCAAAACGTTTAATGTTTTTCTAGAGTTCTTTCTACAGTGAGACTCAAACAACTCTAGAATAAGTAGACGACTTTTAATCCCAAGTTATGACTTTAAGTGTCCAAAGAAGAGGAAACATAACAATTAAACTGGAAAGATCTTGTACAGAAACGCATTTTTTTTACTGTTTTACAAAGTTTTTTAAATTGTTTCTGTTCCTGGGTGAATGAGACGATGTCACAAATAAAGACAGTAGCACTGAGACCAAAATTGAATTGCAAGAAGTCGTTGAACTACGTAAAAGAGGTTAAACCGCTCATTTTATGACTGGTTAAACTCAAAGATTTTGGTATTACAATATCTAGAACTTTAAACCGGTATAATTCAGGATTCATTGCAAACTATACACAAGGTCTAATATATGAAATCCTACTGGTTCAAGTTTGTGACCTCATAGCTCCCTAGTTTTAATTTAACTCACAAGTATAAGAAGGAAAAGGTCTAATATATGCAATCCTACTGGTTCAAGCTTGTGACCTCATAGCTCCCTAGTTTTAATTTGACTCACAAGTATGAGAAGGAAAAGGTCTAATATATGCAATCCTACTGGTTCAAGTTTGTGACCTCATAGCTCCCTAGTTTTAATTTGACTCACAAGTATGACAAGGAAAAGGTCTAATATATGCAATCCTACTGGTTCAAGTTTGTGACCTCATAGCTCCCTAGTTTTAATTTAACTCACAAGTATAAGAAGGAAAAGGTCTAATATATGCAATCCTACTGGTTCAAGCTTGTGACCTCATAGCGCCCTAGTTTTGATTTAACTCACAAGTATGATAAGAACCCTTTTTATCCGGTTACATATTGAAATTTTGTTCCAAATAAATTCTCAAAAATAGAAGTTTTGGTTGAAAAATTTTTACTTTAATTTGACGTTTAATTAAGACAGTTATCACATGAAAAGTAGTTTAACCGGCATGGTTGGTAGTTCAGCGACCTCTCTCCGACTTATTAAATCTGGTCCCTGATATACAGTTTAGGTTGAGGAACAACCCCACGCTTCATCTGACGGATAATAGATCTGGGCAGCAGAGAGCTCAATAGCTAGAATATATAGAATATATATGTTCGACGTAATTTCAATTCACTCTTATAATTCTTTGGCAAAATAATACAAATCATTTTTTTTAGAAAAAATGCGTTGCCTTAAAAAAGTATCAGTTACATTTTGCCTAGTACTTTTTTGTCTTGTACTCATTCGTCATACAGGGTGTCCCACATCATATTAGACCGAGAACGGGTCTAAATTACGATTTTCGGGACTAATTAGAAAATTTCATTAGAATGAATCATTTTGAAAAATAACATAAGGCTTATATAAGAATTTTCTTGCGGAAAATGATAAGTTTTTCGAGTATTAAGGGTTTATTTTGGTGTTAAAGATTGGAGATAATCTAATATGATATGGGACGCTCTGTAGTCCACATTCACCTATTCTATATGATAAAACAAGACATTTATATATATGTTGCCTATAGCCGGCCAAACGACTAGATCGGAATTTTTGTGGACACTCAATCGATTAATCAATCAATCAATCAACAAGAGCATCCCACTGCTCACCAGCTAACAGCTGTTTCACATCCTCACTCAGTACTTGTCTAATTTAGATATTTAGGTTTTAATCAATTAATCAATCAATCAATCAACAAGAGGATCACACTGCTCACCAGCAAACAGCTGCTTCACATCCTCACTCAGTAGTTGTAAACTTTAGATATTTAGGTTTCAATCAATTAATCAATCAATCAATCAACAAGAGCATCCCACTGCTCACCAGCTAACAGCTGTTTCACATCCTCACTCAGTACTTGTCTAATTTAGATATTTAGGTTTTAATCAATTAATCAATCAATCAATCAACAAGAGGATCACACTGCTCACCAGCAAACAGCTGCTTCACATCCTCACTCAGTAGTTGTAAACTTTAGATATTTAGGTTTCAATCAATTAATCAATCAATCAATCAACAAGAGCATCCCACTGCTCACCAGCTAACAGCTGTTTCACATCCTCACTCAGTACTTGTCTAATTTAGATATTTAGGTTTTAATCAATTAATCAATCAATCAATCAATCAACCAGATCAACTCACTGCTCACCAGCCAACAGCTGCTTCACACCCTCACTCAGTACTTGTCTAATTTAGATATTTTTTATTCATCAATCAATCAATCAATTAAGTTTTGTGTCTTGTAACAATTACCTTATCTGTTTTCTTTTTCTCAGAGTTATAAACTTCAACCCTTTCATTGTACAATCTGAAGGAAAAAAAATGTTCAAAATTCTTGAATGTTGTTAGAAATAACATATTATTATTCAAATCACTCTGAAGAAAGGGTCAAATTCATGCAAAAAACCATCTTTTCTAGTTTAGATTATACGCACAATTTGTGCAAATTTTTACGGTTATATCTTAAAAATTTAAAACATTTGTTTTCTTCTTAATAATATTAAATTTATGTAACTAGGCTTTATCTTCTATTTAAATTGTGAACATGCTCTCTTTGTGTACATTGTAAAACAAAAACAAACAAAATTTCGTGGATAAAAAAATGTTTTGGATTTTCCGAATTCAAATTTTGTTAGAGTTAAATTTTTGAAAATTCGATCATCCATAAACCTTCCCTGGGGTTACAAGAAGTCCGACAAAAAATTTGGGCCCGATCTCGGTTCAGCCCAATCAATTTTTCAAGACAAGCTTAAAAAATGCAACCTCTGATTACAACGTTTATTGCAAAACTTTGGTGCTTGGCAGGTTTAAAAAATCAAGAAGAATGTTGGAAAATTAAGTTTATTTTTTTTTGTTCCAAAAATTTTTAAATACATAAATTCTCTCATTTTCCTTCTTTGTCCACACTCAATAAATCAAACTCACTTTTAAGAGCACCGTAAAAAACAAGTATATCTCCATAATTGCTAATCAGATAAACTTTTCAAGGGAACTGTTGAAAATAGGACAATTTAAATTATATCAAAAGTCTCATTAAAACTGACCTAGAGTATCTCATCATGCTTCCAGTACTGTTGAGTGTGACCCAGATACATATCGGGATAAAGAGAAGGAGAAGAATTATCAGAGTTAAAGGTTCTCTTTTCTCAGCTTGAACACTGAAATTAAATTTAAAGTAAATTAAGAAGAATTATCAGGGTTAAATTAAGGTTCTTTTTTCTCAGCTTGAACACTGAAATTGAATTTAAAGTAAATTGAGAAGAATTATCAGGGTTAAAGGTTCTCTTTTCTCAGCTTGAACACTGAAATTTGAAGTAAAATAAGTACCAATAACTTATTTTTAACAGGAATTTTACTATTTGAAATTAAACCTATTGTTGGTATTAAACGCAGGAGAAATATGTTCACTCGAAAATATAATAGCGTAACCTTATGAATTGTCAGTATATTACAACAGAAAAATGTACCTGGTGAGTCAAAAAAAAGTGTGATTAGCGGCGCCTGGTGAAAAATTGTACTTTTTTGTGCAACTCTCCTGTATGGTGTTTTTCCAATAATTTTTGAAGAAAAATTTTTTTTTCCGTATTTCAATGGCTCAAAAAAATCCACGAACCTTTTTTTCTAAAAATAAAAAATTCAGAAAAATAAAAATGTGTTTAAAATTTATTTCTATCAAAATCTAAAATTTTATAAAAATTGAATAACAGAATCAAAAAAAATTTGCAAAATTTTTTAAGAAAATTCACAATTTTCAGTTCTGGTCTAATTTTCAAGGAAAAGTTATTTAAATTCTCTAGTTCCTTTCTTCTATAGTATATTCTAAAGTTTTAAATATACGCTGTTCAGTTGAAACCTGAAGAGCCATTGAAAAACAACTTTTCCTTAAAAATTAGGCTGAAAATTGCAAATTTTCATATCACAATTGTGCAAATTTTCTGTGGAGTTGGAGCCACCATGTTGCTCAGATAAAGGGCCCTGTTGAAATAGGAGATGCCTCTCTTTCTAAATGGTAGATCACTTTTAGGTTTTATTTAAAACTTTTACCTGTTTGAAGTTTTATTTACAAGTTCAATAATGTCTTCAGCAACAGCTTGTATTAAAATTCTAAATACAGATAGGAATTGAGCCTGCAATCTGATTATGTGAACCTTTAATATTTCAAACTTAAAATTATTTGATCTAACAGAGTTTATAGTTTAAAAATCTAAGGTCTACAACATTGGGTTGCAAAGATATATAGGGATTAGAAAATCAGGGTTTGTGTTAAACACTTAATTCCTTTACAATTTTATTTTGAACAAACCAATGATTGAATTTGTAAATTCAATTCAAATGACTAAAAGAGTTTACCGACACAATGTAAAACTACCTAGAGTTCAAACTACCTACGGTCAAACTACCTGGGGTCAGACTACCTAGGGTCAAACTACATAGGGTCAAAATACCTAGGGTCAAATTTCCTAGGGTCAAACTACCTTGGGCCAAACTCCCTAGGGTAAAACTACCTGGGGTCAAACTTCCTAGGGTCTAACTACCTAGGTTCAAACTACCTAGGGTCAAACTACCTGGGTTCAAACTCCCTAGGGTCAAACTACCTAGGGTCAAACTACCTAGGGTCAAACTACCTAGGGTCAAACTACCTAGGGTCAAACTAACTAGGGTCAAACTACCTTGAGTCTAACTACATACTATCAAACAATCTAGGTTCAAACTACCTAGTGTCTAGCAATATAGGGTCAAACTACCTATGGTTAAAGAACCCAAGCCAAACTATCTAGGGCCTAACTTACCTAGGGTCAAACTATCTAAGGTCAAACTTCCTAGGGTCAATATGTCTAGGGTCAAACGACATACAGGCAAAAAGACAGCTAACACAGGCTTGGGTAAAACTTAATCCATCCTTGAAAACTATAGCTTTTCATGGAAGTCTTTAACTATATGAAACAGCAGAAAATTTGAAAACACTACTTATACCTTAAAGAGTCTGTGTACTGAAGAAAGTGCCCAAAATATTTTATGACACTTTGCAGATCCCGGTCTAGTTTTTTCTTGTTTCCAATATCTTCCTGAAAAGGAGTAAAGATTCAAACCTTAACCATCTATTAGTACCGTAATTTTAAAAATGTTAATGTAAAGTTTAGATAAATAATAACTTTCAACCAATATTCTTTTGACAAAGTTTTTCTTATTACGAATAAATTATTTCTTATTTGCTGACAAAATAAAATTAAATTCCAACTCATTCTAGCCTTTCTTTTTAATTTGTCTCAACTAATCAGCAGTTTACTTTTAAAGAGAAATCACAGTTGAAACGGAAACTGTTGTGAGTAGAACATCATGAAGAATTTTCTAATTCCTTTAATCATAAAAGATACCCATCTACATCTAAGAATCAGTTCAAATGGATTTTTTCTATTAATGGGATACGCATAATTAAATTGAGGTTTACTGGAAAATACTCTACAGTCCTTTTAAGAGACTTAAATTTGTACCTGAATAGAAGGAAAGGGGTTTCCTTCAATCAACATTGCATATTTTTTCCTCATTGGCGGAACAAAATTAAATGTTTGATTCAAGTATTCCAGCCTAAATATGTTTAAAGCTGGAGTACCTGGCTAGGTATGGTAGTTAAACTGAGTAAAGTTTATAATATTAAACTCTCTTATCAACTACCAAACCTACACAGTAACTCCCTTTAAAGGAACTGATTAATCGACAAGCTTAGGATCCGGATCCGGATCCGTTGGATCCGAAAGATTTTTGCTTCCTGGATCCGGATTCGGATCCGGATTCGGATCCGGATCCAAGGGGTAAAATGTTAACCAAAAAATGCAAAAAAAAAACGTTTTTACTCCTAAAATCAAAATCTGAACTTTTGAAAAAAAGAGAGATTATAAAAATTTTCTCATTTCTGAATGGTTCATCAAGTTTTAAGGTAAAAATATGCGAAAAAAATTGAAAATTATGTTTTGTTAAAAATATTCAGCAAATCTTAAGAAAATGACCTGGATCCGGATCCGGATCAAAATTAAATGGATCCTAAGCACTGGCTTTTCAATATCTTTGCTTCTTGATGGAGTCAAAATTTGATATTTCATAATTAGACAATTTAATCCAACAGGAAACATATGCAAAAATACAAGGTTGAATTGACCATTGTAAAGTGGAGTTTTTTTCAACAATTTTTTCTAATCTGTTTATCTTTCCTACCCGACATGGTGTAAACCTTTGATATTTCTAATCTGTTTATCTTTCCTACCCGATATGGTGTAAACCTTTGATATTCAAACCTAGATTTTTAAATCTAACAGTAAAAGAATTCTATAGTTTTAAATATCAAAGTTATAATACATCGGGTTGCAAAAATAGGGATTATAAAATCAGGTTTAAGATTTTTTGTAAACAATAAACATTAAATGTATTTTAAACTCACCTAAGAACTTCGTTGGACAGAAAGTTTTCATATTTAGCTTGAGTTAGGCCACCAGACTGATATTCTATACCTTTCATGCAAGAATGCTTAAAAATAATTGAAAACAGAAAAGTTGACTATTTCGTATAAAAAATTTAAATTGATATTTTCTATACATAAAACTAAGATATTTAAAAACAAAGTATATTCTTTGCCTATTATTCCAGCTTTTCCAGCATATTCTACAGCTCTCAGTAGATTTTTATATCCTGCAAAATAAACCCATTATTTTGTTTACATAAATCAGCGGTATAGCAGATTTAAAACATTGTGGGAAAACGTACTTTTGTAACATTTTTAATTACATTTTTTTCAATTTGATAATAATTAATTGGAATTTCAATTGCTTTGGTTTGTTTTTTATTTTCCCAATTTATGGGAGTTGATTTAACAATTTTTCATTCAATTATTTTAAAAACTATTCTCCCAAAGCTCAGCTCTGGAGGGTTTCTTGGCCAAAGGAATTAATTTTTACCACTCTCTCTGATTTTTTAGTCCCTATATCTTTGCAACCCAATGTTGTAGACTTTATAAACTTTAATCTTTAAATTCAGGTAGATCAATAATCTAAGTTGAAATATCAAAGCTCTACACCATCAGGTTTATCAGATATAGGGATAGAATTATTTTGTGTCAGAGTGCGTACAGTTAATTTCCCACCTATAATGTATCTGTAGAAGTCTGAGATATCTGAGTCATGAATAGAGTAAATGATATAACCCATCATTTTGCTGTTGATCTGGGTTTAAGAAAATAATTATTTTTAACTTTTTTTCTTTTGCTATACATTTTTGGCTAAGAGAGGAATAAAGATTTTTCCACAAACTCAAATTTTCTAATCCCTATATCTTTGCAACTTATTTATGTAAACCTAGATGATTTGATCTATTACACTCTAAAAAATGCAATTTTGGTCTTTAGCATCAGGCAACAAAGTTCTTCTTTCATATTTCAAATTTCTTCTTTCATTACTCAAATTTTGATGAATATTTTCCAAAATTACAATCTAACAAAACTTGTTAATAGCTTACACATTGTTCTCTCAGCATGTGTCAAACTTTGTTATATGACATGTTTCTTTTGTCATGTTACAGTTTTCTTTCATTGTAATTTTAGCCGATATTTTAGTTTGTGTAAGATTAAACAAATTTTGATTTATGATCAATCAAACGTTGAACCATTTGCCGGGCTGGCACGGCTCGCACGGCTGGCTAGGAGGGGGAGAATCAGCTGACTTTCTAATTAGTAACAGTTTAGTCTGTTAGCCGACAGCGCTTATGCCTACGTCAATTCGATCTGGAAATTTGGAGATATCAAAAAGATTTAAAGGGAAACCTCCAAGAAACTGGAAGAACAAAATTAAAACTTGTTTAAGCCTTTGTACACTCTCTCAAACTAATGCTTGAATTTTCAATGCTTTGCTTGAAAGAGAGTATCAATGCAAAACCAAATCTTCCATAATTCAGACTGCAGAATCTACTTCTACAAGAATCAAATACGTTGTCTAAATTGGTGATCAATTGATGCCCTGTCCTTTAAGCTTTGAATTGTAATAAAGTGTAAAACTAATGCTGCATGTTACTTTAAAGATTTGTATTAAGATCTTTTATTTCTGCCTATTCATACTTTGTTATTTCATGTATTTGTATTATAAAAAAATGTGATAAACTTTAAACTTATGATGTTTAAATTTTTGTTTTTATTAATTGCATTTTTGCCGATTTATAGGTTTTAAAAACTAATAAATTGTATTAAAAAATTGAAATTTTACATAACAGCCGGATTTTTAAGTATAGCAACAAACTTTGAATCTAGTTAAAACAAATTTTGAGAGAATAGGTGGCGCCACCTGTAACAACCTCTTTTGACGGGTCAAGATTCAAAGCTGAATAATCATATAACAAATGATTACATAGTTGCGCAGTAAGTTGAAGGGACATTCAACAAATTTTGACGCATGCTAATTTTTAAACCGCGCAGTGTCGCTGGTTGAATTGACATGAAACAAACTTTGTTAGATGATAATTATATGGAGGCGTGGCTCGGGCGGCACAGCGAGCGGGCAAACACCGGTTGATAGATCATCTAACAAACTTTGAATTAAGGGGACTGAAAATACATTTAACAAAATTTGACGAATGATTCTACTAAGGTGTATTTGAGTCTGGTGCTCTGACAAATTTTGTTAGATGAAAATTTGGAATTTCTTAGAGTGTAGCATTTAAAGTTTATAAGTTATGAACTAAAGTCTTTCACGTTTGATTGCAAAGATATAGGGATTAGAAAATAAGAGTTTGTGACAAGAATTAAATTCTTTTTTGAAAACTTAAAAAGCAAAATCTAAAATTGTCTTATTTCAAAATGCAAAATGATTGTTGTTTTTGAATATTTTGTTTGTTCCTGATTATACCATTCCAGAACACTAGCCAGGGATTTGGAACCTTCTTGAATCTTTGTCCTACAACAATCGTTAATATTTTTTATAATTTTCAATAAAGTAGTAAATAAATCGCGGTTAGTTGTTTAAATGGACTGTAAGCATTATTCTAAGTGACACTCCAAGCATAGATGGCAATGCTTCAAACCTTTATCTCTAAAAACATTTATCTGATGATCAGAATTGAAAATTTTCTGATAAATCCTATTATTTTTCCGGCAGTAGAAATTCGCAACTATGTTTAGTTAGGAAACCATAATTGAAAATAAATTTTTTTACAATTTTAAACATGAATGTATAATTCCAGATCGAAGAAGGCTTTGAAGGGTACAGTTGTGAGTCTTTGTATAAAGGGTCACTTGAAACTAAGCTACAACCCCTTGGAGGGTCTTTAAAAGTCCAAATCCTATTCTTTTAATTAATTCTAATTTTGGTAAGAAAATTAGAATTTATATTTATAAAAGTCTCAACTCCAATGATCAAATTCTGAAGGGAATAAGGAAAAAATGCCATAATTATTATTCTCATAAATATTTTTATGTTGTAAATATCAATGCCCGAATTATTTTGAATTTGTCTCAAATTAGAAAATTATAAAAGTCTAGTTTTCAGATTAAAGTATATAAATAGAAAAGGCTGAGACAAGACTTTTTAAATATTGTCACATATATACGTTATGTGTGGGGGAAATAGGGAAAGGGTTTAGGTATATGTTTGATATCCAACTGTTGTAACCTGTAAAGAGAATGTTGAATTTGGAATTTTAACTTGGTTTCGAAATATTCCGCATCAGACACCTTTCCATACAATACATATACTCAAATATTAGAAAAAGTACAAATTTAAAAAAAATTCTTTTTTCTTTAAACTCTAGAATTAATTTGAAAAAATGTATTTTTCCTTCGGCCAATAACTGATTCCTTGGAGAACTTGATCAGTATTGTTAAATGATTCAGTCAGAGTAAACTTCTCAATCACATTGTTATCAACAACATCATCAGTTAACCTAAATATTATGTTATCAACAACATCATCAGTTAACCTAAATATTTTGTTATCAACAACATCATCAGTTAGCCTAAATATTATGTTATCCACAAAATATTGAGTTAACCAAATTATTATGTTATCCACATTATCAATCTTTTAAGGTCTAACAGATAAATTTTTTAAAATTATTTTTCCACGTGAGTTTTCATTCTCTGGAAATCCTGGTCTCGTCGTACCGCATACATATTTTCTTACACCAGTACGTGTGTAATGGATCCAGACCGTTTTATTCACAAACCCATTACACTTCATATAGGTTGATTTTTTTTAAATTTAATTTTTGCGAAACGATTTTTCCATTTCGCTGGAAAGCCGAAATGAGACCGTTATTAGATCTTACAACAAATGGACTTGTCCTCATGTAAATTGCTGTGTTTCATGTTTAACTTAAGAGTCCATAACTACTAGTAATCGTCTTTCTATTCCACAGTTTTATAGGTCCACTATATTCAGTACTTACGATGCAAACTGTTTAATGCTTGTAAGGTTTTCCTGTCCACGGATAAAATAGTTTAATGCAACAGATGCCCTCTCCTCCTAGAATATACAACATTTTCTAGATTATATTTAATAATAATAATAATAATAATAATGATAACAACAATAATAACCCTCCATTTTTTTAATACAAGTTGCATAGTAAGGGTCAGGTTGTATTTATTCGTAAATGATATAATCTGGAAACAAATGTTCACGGCCGGGAATATTCCCAACAAACTTTACTTCGCAAAAAAATACGATATTTTTTGAACAAATAATTGTTGTAAATAAAACAAACTAACCTGCATTCTTTGTGTCAGTTTTGCAAACTCAAGAGCATTGATAACCTTTAGGATAAAAGAACTTTTTTGTGAAAATTTATTATTTAATTACGCAATTTTCATACTTGTTGTTTATTTATATTAATATTATTATTTTTTTTACAAATAAATATTATTATTTTGTAACTTTTTTACATATTCTTATCATTAATGATAATTTTTTGACAGTTGTATCAAAAAATATGTCAAAATGAATATTGTGTTGTTTTAATATTTCAATAATTTTTTATTCCATCTAACCTGATCTCTGACTTGGGAAAGATCTTGAAGTGCATAAGTGCTTTCTGTAAAGCTGGTGCAATTCTGCCAAATTAAAATGTTAAATTTTAACGATATTTTTGATTATACTAGGGACGGGCAACGAAGCAGAAAACGAAAGTTTTTCGTTGCGTTTTTTTCAACAAACTAATCGTCGTTTTTAAAAGAAAAAAAATAAAGGGTAAAAATTAACGAACAGATTGTTTTCAACTTTTAAATACGAAAAAGTGTTTCTTACCAAGTAGTGTGAGAAAATCCTGACGTTTACCCGGGCCGCGCTTGGACGAATTTATTCATTTGGATATTTAGAGCAATGTACTTTTTCTTACAAAGTAAGTCATTATATGAAATTAAACTTATAAAAAGAAGATTATCACATAATAATGAAGTAACATGATAAAAATTATATATAAATTATATTTGATAAATAAAAATTATAAATTGAATGAAATTTTAAAAGGGACAGACCGGCTATGTAAGGTAGTTGAACTGAGTATGCAGTGTTGTGGACAAATTCTTTAGGATTCATTTGAGACATATAAAACTTTTAAAAAATCTGTAAATCCTGAGTTTGAGCGCAAAGTCGACGTTCAAAATCGTACTTTTGGGTGGATACTTTGCGCTCAAAATTTACATATCTTTAAAAAATTTTATATGTCTCAAATGAATCCTAAAGAATTTGTCCACAACACTGCATACTCAGTTCAACTACCTTACGTAGCCGGTCTGTCCCTTTAAATGAAAAACAACTCATGGAACAGAATAAGTTATTAGATAAAATAAGTTATAATATTTTTTTAAAAGCATAATACCTGGGCAAGAAGTATAAAAACAGGGAGTAACGGTAGAATTACTTCACAAATTTACATTTTTCATATTTAGTTTTTGACAATATTATGATACATATTTTGTGATGTAATTGATTGCCTAGATGCCATGTGTAGTTTCATTATTAAATTTAATTCCTTAGATTACAAGTATAGTTTCATAATTAAATCTAATTGCCTAGATGAAAAGTATAGTTTCATTATTAAATGTAATTCCTTAGATGACAAGTATAGTTTCTTTATAAAATATAATTGCCTCGATGACAAGTATAGTTTCTTTATAAAATGTAATTGCCCAGATGACAAGTATAGTTTTATTATTAAATGTAATTGCCTAGATGACAAGTATAGTTTCTTTATGACATGTAATTGCCTAGATGACAAGTATAGTTTCTTTATAAAATGTAATTGCCTAGATGACAAATATAGTTTCCTTATAAAATGTAATTGCCTAGGTGACAAGTATGAAGTTTCTGTCCATGTTCTGTTCCCAGATTGATTGTATAAAAGAATAGTTTCATGGCATGAGCTGACATCAAGGTTCCTGATTCAGAACTCTCAGAGACTTCAGAGGGCTCACGTTCTTCTTGCTGAAAAAATACAAATAAATTTTGATGAACCAAAACTTTTTTGAATTGTAGATTGTTCGGCGATAACAAATTAGTGAAAACGATTTTTCTCTTTAAGTTTTGATTTATAACACAACCTTTTTAATACTACAGGTTTACAAGCAAACAAAATAAACCTATTAATTGACAGCATATATGTGTTATGCGCATCCATGCTGTTTGAGTGCTTTGTATAAATAATTTATATACGAAGACGACTGTATCTTTTTTTCAGAAATAGTTTTAAACTTTCCGATTATGATGACAAAAAATAAAGGCAAGAACATATTTAACCCTATCCCTATTTTTGTAAATGTGAATAAATTTACCTTTTTCTCTACTGCAGCAAAGCTGAGTACCCCTGGAGCAAGAATCAACTGGTTGTCCGCCCTAGCATTGGTCAAATTTTACTCCCAATTCTATAGTTTAAAGGAACGTAATTCACGCACCCTTGACCCTTCAGTAAAAGTAAATTCAACCTAAAGTCTGACCACGTCAACCTTGTTGCACCGGATAGTCCTTTGAGTATCTGCTTCATTTATCCGATGCCCGGGTGATACAATACAAACTAGGACCGGAAAGGTTGATCCGGCTCGGAAATTCAAATGTATGTACTAGGGCTTCCCGTGGGTTGGCAAAATAATACTCTAATTTTAAGTGAATGCGCTGTACATCTTGGTTTGCAGTGAGGGCCACCCGCATTTGAATTCTCCGATTTGCAACTATGACCTTCAACCTTTTAGCCAGATTATCAAAGACAACATCCTTATTATTCTTGCTTAAAATTGCGTACTTCCAAACTTTACAGCAGAGTATTTGCAATTACAGGAATTAAGTCTTTATCACAACCTCAAATTTTTTAATCCCTATTTGTTGCATATTTAAAACTTAGATTATCTGATTAAACAGAGTTCATAGTTTTAAATACCTCAGGCCTACGACTTTGGATTGCAAGGTCAGAGGGTATCCAAAAGGACAGTTTGTGGCAAAGACTCAGTTCCTTTAATCTGGTTTTTATAAACTCGAATGGCAAATTTTTCATCAAAAGCACAAAAGATAGAAAAAAATATGTTTAAACAGTGTTTTGACAGAAACTAAGTTTGAATTTGTATTTTATCACTCTAATTTTAAAACACATCTTTTTAATCTTAATCTTAACAGTGACAGCTATAAAAACCGTAGATCTGCAGAAGCTGGAAATGAACGGTTGATCCCTAGATTTACAATACAAAAGTTCTCAGGGCACACAGTATACTTACACATCAGGGTGGACTTTTCCATGCATTTTCAAACCTTTCTTATCTAAACCAAAAACAATATTTAGCTTCCCTTATTTACTTTTAGGTTCAAATCTGATTTGTTTAAGGTAAATACGAATAATACAAATGTTAAATTTCTGCAGACATATTATATATATTATCAATTTGGACAAGTTAGATGCTTTGAAGTGTAAATTTGGATGCTATTATTGCGAACCTAGCATAACCCAACACTTGGAAATCTCTTAAATACAATTCGACTGTTGGAACGCATCATAAATGTTCCTTTTTGATAATATTAAAGCATCAAAACTGTCACAGATACAGATAGGTCACCATTGAAATACAAACTCATGTCTTAGACACTTTTTTAAAGACATATTCGCAGTCACAGTTCTAACTTTCTAAGTCAAAATTACATCAATGTCATACTTTTGAGACCAGATTATGTCTAAGACACTATCCAAGTCACAATTCTATATGTCTAATACTCAATTCAAGAGAAATTCTTAATTTGGAGACAGGTTTCTGTCTAAGACACATTCTAAGTCACAATTAAGACAGGGCCATATTGAGCCCAAATTATGTCTGAGAAGTTCCAACTTTTTCCAAGACTTATTATGATCACAACTATGACTAAGACTCATTCTGATTTACCATTGAAAGAAAAACTTATAATACACAAAGTCTTAGCAAAGTCTTTGATAAGACATAATTATGTCTAAGACACTTTTCTAGGTCACAACTTTAAGACACATTCTATGTCGTCACAATTCTAACTCAAACCCATGTCTAAGTCATGGAAAGACATATTCTAAGTCACAATTACATCAACGTCATACTCTCAGTCCATATTATCTCTAAGACACTATCTAAGTCACAACTATGTGTAAGACTCATTCTAAGTCACAATTCTAAGAAAAATTCTTACTTTCTAAGTCACAGCTATGTCTAAGTCACGTTCTAACTCACCATTCTATATCAAACTCATACTTGTCTAAGACAATTTCTATGTCAAAATTTAAAGTCACAATTATGTCTAAGACACTCTAAATTCTAAAACACTTTCTAACTTCCAAGTAACAAATGTGACTTAGACACATTCTAAGATTCAATTCTAACTCAAAATTCACAATTCTAAGTCTTACTAAGGTCTGAAACGCCGTTTTAGTCATAACTATGTCTAATTCACAGTTGCCTGCAGCACTTAATTTTGATCTAATTTTTACGTTCAACAAAATCGTAGAGCAAAAGCATAACGTTACATGCTATTAAAACTCTGTAAAGAGAATTTACAAGGTTGGTACAAAATCATAATATTTAAACATAATATTTTTCAAAATATTCTCTTCATGTCCAACTACCGTTTACAACTAACATCAGACAGAGGTTCATCAACATTTATTTATAAAACCCTCGACTAAACATAACAAAGTTTAACATCCAACTGATTTACAAAACTGGAGATTTAGTTTAGCGTAAGATGAGATTATCTATCTTTGATAAGCTTTATATTCCCAATAATAACATTTTTCAAGTAATTAATTTACCAAAAACAGATATTTAGGGATTATAGCTAAAAATAAGATAAAAATACACGCAACTAGTTTCAAATTAGTTTCAAAAATGAATGTGTACTGTCTGTGTTTTCATCACTCCTAAATTATAAAAATACACGTACTGCAAAGTAGTAATTGTTTATATTACTCCCATGAACCAAGACAACATTTAATCCTATCAATCAATGTATCTTAGCCAAAGAGAATAGAATATAAAGTAGAGGGGAATTTGCAGAATCCTTCGGTATGAATTTTTTCAGTCCCTTTCAGTCTGAAAGGGAGTTCAAAGTGTACAAATCATGTATAAAATGTTCACAAATTATATGCAGTAGAGTACATTAATATAGTATGTTCCCTAGAATATCCATTTCAATTTCAAATTTTTAAAAGCTGTTAAATAAACTTTATAAAATTAATTAGGTGAATAAAAAACATCATTTGATTTATAGTTATAACGGAAAATCATGTGAAATGATCATTGGTCAATTATGAAACCAGCTTATCTCATAATTTGGTTTTCTTTTAATATTAATTTTAGATTTTCATTCAAATGATGTTCCAGGGCCCAACAGGTTAGATAGCGCAAATATGTGAAGTACACCTGCAGTATGGAAACAGTACAACAAATATCTTAATATCTCAACAGAAACAAACATTTTTAGGTTTTATTATTTTCAAACTCTCATTTTTAACAATTTTATTGTGAAGATTAATAAATAAATTATAAATATTTTTAACAGTAATGAATCTATGTAAACAAAGAAAAGAAAAAGAAAAGAAAAAAGTATGGATGAATAGATCTAAAAACAAAAAAACAATAATCAATATAATCTTAAATACATGTAGTTACAACGTTTTAAAAGTTGGATTTTGGTGTTGTATTCAACAGTTTTTTTCAAAGTGCAAAAAAGCTGTTTAAAATCACAAATAAATAGCTTACAAATTTTAACAGTTTGAAGAAAAACATTTGGGTTTGGTATTGATTGTATGCGCTTGATGTAAACAAACATTTTTTACATTTTCTAATTTGATTTTAAAGATGTCGTCTGTTATTATTGTAATACTTCTGGGTATCAGTGTAGTTACTTGCTAAGCATAAATGGTTCCTAAAATACAAAAATACATTAAATTTTACACAGGCTACACAAAATAGTTGAATTATTATCGAGAAAAAGACGACATTTGGTATTTCCTTATGAAATATTACTTTATATTTTCAAGATACAGTGATAACCAGTTAACAGTGGAATTATCATCGTTCTTATTAGATCTTGCAACGGATGATAAAATTTCCCAAAAATATTCCGGGGCATTTTCATATGTAGATACAAAAATGTATAAAAATATTACTTATCAAATAGTGATGTGACATTACTCAAAAATATTAAAGAAGACAATCTGTGAGCACAGCTAGCAAAAAAAAATTTAGTCTATAGAAAAACATCGGAGCTGATTTGTATTTAAAAATTGCAAAAGTCACACCAGAGTCTAAAACTAAAGAGTGCGCGAATTTTAAGTTCGAGGTTAAAAGTTCTGTAAAATAATGAATAGCTATTTAAATATTAAACTTTCTCAATTTTAAATTTGAATTTCCCGGGAAAATCTGAACCAATCAGAGAAAAGGATTTACGGAGAATATTACATAACCATCGCTAATCAGCTGTTCTTACGTAACTGGAAACAAAACATACAACCGTTTTTGGGTTTACATCCAAAAATTAATTTATCTAAAACGTGAAATTTCTTTAACAAGGTTTTCATTTTTAAATATATCGTTAAGTTGAATGCCGCTTTCTCAGCTGTAGCTGAATGATGATTGAATAATAGACAAATAGGGAAAATGCAGGATTTCAAGATATATAATTTAAACCTCTGTTTAAATTTTGACTCGTCGATTTCGGCGAGTTAAATATTTAACCACAGGGTTAAATATTTAACCTCACGGTTAAAGTTCAGGTTTAAATTAAGTCAGAAGTGGCATTTAACCATGAACTTAAAATTTAAGTCAAAACTTTTCGTTCTTTAGTTTTGGACTCAGTTCAATACTTGCACGATCTAAACCGGAACAAGCATTTACGTTATAGACATGATTATTTGACCCAGCACGTTTTATACACAAATGTAGTCGTTCGGATATATACTTTACTAGCTTGGGAATCCAGCGCTGCCCAGGTTACTATAAAATACTCCGCCGTTTACCCGCACTTGAACGATTTTACCAGGAAACTAAATTTTCGCTATTAAAGCCCACTTACTCAACATTTAAGTTATAGATATGATTATGTGAACCAGCACGTTTTATGTTCTAATGTAGACGTCCGGATATATATTTTACTAGTTTGGGAACCCTGGGCTGCCCAGGTTACTATAAAATACTCCGCCGTTTACCCGCACTTTAACGATTTTACTAGGAAACTAAATTTTCGCTATTAAAGTCGACCTTACTCAAAATCTCAAAACCAAGCTAAGAACGTTCCCGTGGCTCTCTCGAGTTTCCCAATCAAAATTTGAGACAAATCGTTCCATGGGGTTCCTGAGTTATGAACTTATGATCGGACAAATAAACAGACAAAAAGAGATTACAACTTTATTACAACTTTGGGTACTCATTGTTACTTCCGCCGTTTACCCGCACATTGTCGTAAATTACGATTTTAGCTATTTTTCTCGATAAAAGCCTACCCACTCAATTTAAAACCTCAAAACCAAGCTATGAACATTCCCGTGGTTTTCCCACAATCCCAAATCAAAATTTGAGGCAAATCGGTTATAGGATTTTGGAGTTATGATCGGACAAACAGTCAGACAAATAGAGATTACAACTTTAGATATATATAAGATACCTGCAAAAATAATCTTGTGTCCCATCATTATGACACCACGTGCCGTCAGGGAAGAAAACCCCACGTGGTGAAATCCACTCCGATTCATCCTTTGTCTGACAGTATACAGAACAGGCCTAGAAAATACACACTATAGATAAATGAATAAAAAATAGCTCATGTAGGCAATCAACCCAAATTTGACTTTAAGACATCCAATGTTCACAACTTATTTAATTTTAAAATAGCTATCAAAGATCTGCGTAATTTGTATCTGTTAAGCTGAGAAATGTCATCTTATGCGCAATCTAAAAATAAAATATGACCTAAGTCATAAGACAAACCTCACGAAAAATAATTTAAAAAAATGCTAATTGATTTTGCAAAACTAAAAAAGAAATATTTTTAAATCAGAACGAACACACTATACCTGCCATGGTTTGTCTTCAGAATATTTTGCTGGTTTCCCAACAGGATTAAATTCGTCAAGAACAGAATAGAATTTAGCATGTTTTTCACACGCTAACTCTGCAGTTTGGGTTCTACTTCTAATATTGTATAACAGGGTTTAATTTAAGGTTTAAAGAGAACCGTTATTGATCGGCCAAGATCTGACTTTTTAAAATAAATAACGTCTGCAGTTCCTTTAATAATATCAAATACTATAGCTTAAGTGCCTGTCGTTGTCACGCGAGGAATTAAAAAAAAGATCTAAGTTAAAAAAAAAAAATTCAGCTAATTTGGTCCAGCCGTCCGGACAGCTATTGCTAACATATATAAAAAAATACATGGTGAGAGGAAAAAAAATGGATTAACGATGTTTTAGACCAAATTTTCTAAATTTCTATTTTCTTAGATTTTAGGCTTAAATTAAATAAAATAAAAATAGTTTTTTTTCTATGTTTCTAAGACATTTCTTAATGATTTTTTTTTTTATTGCCTAAAATCCAAACAACATAAAATTTAAAAAGATTTTGTGCAAGACATCGTTAATACCATTTATTTGACTCACCCTGTATATAATAAATTTATTTTTCAATCAAAATACAAATTTACATTTTCATATATGAGCGAAGAGCTCTATTATATAGTTAGAACCTGCGTGAAGATGAACAGCTCCTGGTTCCACAAAGATGAGCATCATCACACAGCTCAACCCAGCTCTGTGCACCCTCACAATCCTACCAGGATACAGGGGTCAGCAAAATACAGTGGAACTATTTTTCTTTTTTCTTTTCCTTCTTTTGATCGTAAAGTGTCGCTAAGTTGTTAGACATTGTTAGAAAAATTTTGCGAATTTTACACTCAAAATACTTATAATTAATCTTTTATCAATTTATTATTCAATAAAAAAAAAATCTATATTTATATTCTTCAATCCCTTTCTCTCTCTATTTTCCTCACACCCCCCCCCCCTCCAACCCTAGATCTGACCACCACCATTCATAAAATTCAAACTTATATTCAGTTAATCTTTGGTCGAGTTTAAGCATGAGGTATCACATTTGAAATCTGTTTATTTGTTTTTGTTTATTGTTACTTTTATCTTTTAATTCTTTTAAATTTTAAACATCTAGTATTTAAGTTTCTTATTTTGTATGTTTTCTATAGAATATGCCCTGAATATGGTTAAATAAACCGAAAATTTTGACAAAAAGAGTTTTTGTTTCGCGGATCTGAGAGTGTTAGATTTAGAAGAATTGTATATATATATTTCACTTTATTTTTAGTTTTTGATAAAAAAAATTTCAAAGTTTACCTGGTCCTCAAAACCTTCTAGAATCAAACAAACACGATCAACCTTTAAAACAATATTGATAACAAATTAGGGTTTTAATATTTTACTTTACCCCAGAATCCCTAAACCCATTCGGTGTGCATTAAAGGGAGTGTTCGTGAAAGATGAAAGGTGGTATAGGTTTACGGGGAAAAATAAGCGCTTTTGATCACTACTAATCTTACTTCTATCTGTTGCGCCTATAAGGAGAAAATTGTTAAAAACGAGTCACACCGAAGAACGTAGCGTCCGAACGTACAAATTCGGAAAGTTGCAAAAGTAGAAAAATAATCGCTGACTATTGTTTGTAATATCTGAATGATTTGTTTGGTATTAAATTGATTTGTTTACGATCCGAGTTGAATGTTGCATCTTTCTGAATTTGTATGGATGCCACATTCTTCGGTGCAGTGCAAGTCGTTTTTAACAATTTTCTTATAGACGCAACTAATTATAGAAGTAAGATTAGCAGCAATCAAAGGCGCTTATTTTCCGCCGTGAGCCTAAACCCCTTTTAATTTTTCGCGATCACTCCCTTTAAGTAACGATTTATTGTAGGGGGAGGGGGGCATCCCCCACTTCGGAAAATTGGGGAAGAAAGGAACATCATTTTTGAGAAAAATATTGGCTTATATTGGGGCACCCACCCAGCCGGCCATTTCATTGTTAATATATGAAAATATTAAAATTTTCGAATATTTAAAAACCATGTATGGACATAGAATATTAGAAATTTCTAGAAAGGGGTGAGGTCAATAGCTTGGAGTTGACATAATCACATTGTCAAGTGTTTGCATACATTCTTTAGTGAGAAATATACGAATTTCTCCACTGACAATGATCAGCCAAAAGTTGTTATTTCGACATGCCTCTCTACAAATGGAGGGCCACTTAAAATTACGTTTACAGTTCCTTTAACTAATGTATTTTCTAACCTCCTGGTAACCCGTAGATTTAGCCAGACAACCAGATCTACAAGAGTTCTTTCGTGCATAGGACCACTGAGCTGCTTGAATAGGAACACATTCACCCTGCTTGCACCAACTATAGATATATCAATGGACATCTTATTTCTTGGTTTGAAACCAATAAACGTCAAAAACACGGCTAAACCGATTGGATGCACTTTTAAGTGGAACTTTCATACGAGAGCTCAGGTTGAAAAATGTTTGTTTAATCTTTTTTCTAATGTTCTGATATTAAAAGTTCACAATTAAGGATAAAAAAGTCTTCTTTAACTTTTATTCAAATTTTTTTCTGTACAGAGAATTTTTTTACAACATGGGAAGTTACTGCAAAGCTCCCCCTTGAAGGTTAATGTTAAAAAAAAAATCTAAAAAATATTCACCTTGATCCGTCTCCTCCACATCTAGTCCCTTCTAGAGGGGGTCCAGTCTCTTGAACAGTTTCCCCATTTCTGCAAATAAAAAGTAAAAAAATTAATAAATAAAAAAATTTTAAAACATTGATTTTTTTAAAAGAGACTAATAGGCGTAATTTCAAGTGACCTTTCATTTTATAGAGGATCATGTACAACTTACAACGGTAGCCTTTAACCCTTAGCTTTGTCTTTGCAAAAATATCCTCTGGGTTTAATCTTAAAACTGATCATTTCTTTAAAAGTGACATACGGATTTCATTGTAGCGAGACAAAGAACGCATTTTACAGAATTCAACAAATTTTAAGATAAAAAACAATTGTTGTTAAGATAAAGATGTATAGGGCATTCCAATACTTGAATATATGACCAATTAAAATTGCGTGCACTGCCCCTTTCAGACATTATTTAACCTGCATTTAAGAACCTTGCAGTAATCTGCATCAGCTTGATTATTCTCAACCTCGGCCTTATCCGAGTCATGGAAGTAGAATTTGCACTGCTCATCTAAAGTTTTGTCATAAAATCAAAATATTATAATATATAAACTATATACAAATGTTGAGAAAGATAATCGATTGCTATAGGTTGTACTATCTGAATGATTTGTTTGAAATTGAATGGTTTTTTTTACGGTCTAAGTCGTATGTTGCAATTTTCTGAATTTGTAAGGGTGCTAAGTTATTCGGTATGAGACGTCTTTAACAAGTTTCTCCTTATAGACGCAACAGATAGAAGTAAGATTAGTAGCGATCAAAAGCGCTTTTTTATCGCATTAGACTATACCCCCTTTCATTTTTCGCGAACACTCCCTTTAAACCCCCGGTTTGTTTGAAGTTTAAAGAACCAAATTGACTTTTGGCTGCTCACGCAAGTTTTACAAAAAGACAACAAAACAGGAAGGTTACACAAAATTCATCATTCTTTTTTTATTAACCCACTACAAATCTAATCACCACAAATGTCTTTGAGAAATTACTTGATATAAACTTAATTCTAAACTGACCTGCAGCTATGAAGTGTCCAGGTACACCCATCGTATTGTTGTGATCCCATTTTAGTTTTTCATGCGGTCTGTCATACAAACAGGAGAGGGATTCAGATTGGAGCAATTTCTGTGCACTGCATTTAGACCACTCGGTCTGTCCACGGGACCCTCTGGTTGCAGCCATAATGAACCCATGGCTCTAAATTTGCAGCATTGAAATAGGTAAAGACAATGCATAATCAAAAACTTTAAATATAAAATCTAAACCCAATTTACAAGATAAAATTAATACCTCACATTCATTATTGAACCCATCGTGTGACATACCAAGCGTATGTCCAAGTTCATGTGCAAGCGTGTATGCCGCACTGAACCCTGAAGTTGGATAATTGTTTCCTAGTGCTCCCCACACTCCAAACTCAACTGCCAGACATGAGATATCAGGATGGCACATTGATCCTGTTCTTGCCAGACCAAGAGTATCGTACGTCTTGACGCCATTGCTCTGTCCCCATATGTCTTGTCCACTTACAAGAATCCCTATGTCCCAATGCCTAGGATTAGAGATTGCCATAATTCACTTTTTCATTTTGTTCGTTCATCGCTTTCTTTTCAATCGTTCAATAAAAAATTTATATTGTTTGTTCTCTAAACTTCTATTTCTTTTCAATCTTTCAATCCTTCAATATAAATTTATATTGTTTGTTCATAAAACTTTTATTCATTTTCAATCTATTTCGTTCGTTTTCTCTCTGTCAGTAAAATATTTTGATTAAAATCGTTTGTTAAAGAAAATGGTTTGTTTAGTGTTTGTTTTGAATATTTGTTTGAAAAAATCGTTAGTTCAGTACATAATTATTGTTATTTTAAAAGTTTGTTCCAAAAAGTCAAAAAAAGAATTTCGTTTTTTCCAAATCTTTTGGAAATTTCGTTTGTTCAGTAAAAAGCTATCGTTTTTAAATCGTTCCTTATTGTTTTGTTTTCATTCGTTTTTAAAAAGTGATAATTTCATTAATTTCTGTGAAAAATCCATTACGTTTGCACATTGTTCATTTTTTCTTATGAACGACACCCTTTTTTGACGAAAAATTTTGTTCGTTCTCAAACGTTTTGTTCATTCAAAAAAAAACTATGCCCATCTCTACCTAGGATTTGCTTGGTCGTCTTCAGGATTCATAACCGAGTTGTAGTTGCAGAATGAGGTCAGCAACGCTACCCTTTCTCCATCATGGTTCTCAAACTGTTCAGTTTTTTGAATTTCCAGATAAACAATCATTATATCAACAGTTTGTCCTAGGCTTTTTACTTGATACAGAGCTTGAACTTGGTTTACGTAAGACAAGAGAAGTTCTTCTATTTCATCATCACTATACACTGATGAAAACTTGTTGTATGCAATGTGATCGAAAAATATTGCTGTTTCAATAAGCTTGGGGGTGGAAGTGTCTGACATTTCAGTTTCAAATAGTTCAATGTCTAGAATAGTATCATCCACCTCAACCTCCCAATCCGAAAAAGCTGTAGAATCATGAGAATCAAAATTAGGGAAGGTTGCTCTTTTGACAATATAATGTTCATTGACTAAAACCTCCTCATCGCCCCCAAAAATGTTCAAAACATTTGTATTTCTGAACAAAAACAGCATGCTCTTCAGCCGATCTGTAAGAGGAGTCAGCTCAAAAGTATCCTCCGGTGTTGTTATAAAGCCCATGAATTTGCCTTCAGTACAGCTGGAGATTGCAGCTGTAACATTTTCATCAATATGGATCATTTGACAGCTCAACAGTTTAGAATTTACTCGTTTCCGATTCTCTTCTCCATTTTCCCCCATATAGACTACACTAGCACGTTGAGATACGAGGTTATCATTGTTTTTTAGATTAAGTTTGACGTTGATATCAAAAGCTTCAAACATATACTCATTATCATCAGTTTCACTGCCAACAAGTTTTCTTAGAAGATTATTAGTCTTCTCAATCTTCCGTAGTGAACCTTAAAGAAAAAAAGTAAAAAGTAAAAAATTATTTATTTATGAAATATAACAAAAACACAAAATTAAGTGTTTCAGGAGAAAATATTAAAAACGTCTAATTGTACAGGTTGTGGGAATATTCCCCCAATTCTAAAAAATATAAAAGTAGAAATAAAAGGAATCATGCTTTTTTATTTTAAGGGAGCGGATTTATCTAATGATTTAAACAAATACATTTTGTCATTTTTGTTGTTGTAGCCAATAAACGTCTACACGGCCAAAACAATCAGGCCAAAATTGTTGTTGATGGTTTATGGTTAGTCAACATTTTATTTTTAAAATCCCCCAAAAATAGAATTTCATATTTTTCTCAAAATCTACCAGTGAAAAAAAAATCCAGGAAATTGTTTTAATCTTATTTTATGAAATTCATTAATTTTTAGGACTCTTTGCGTCCATCTTTTATTTCAATCTTGAACATTTTCTCTTTGTATACATTGTGAAACAATAACAAACAAAAAAATTCTTAGATTTTCAAAATTTAATGCAAATAAAATTTTGTTGGAGAAAATTTTTTTAAATTTTGATAGTCTATAAACCTTCCCTAGGGAACGTTTATTTATATACATCCTTAAAGACGTGGATACAGACAAACAAACACCCAAACAAGCAAAGTATATACAGGGTGTCCCAATAAACATGGGAATTCAGTGACGAATTCGATATCGTCTTTGTAAATAATTCTTTGATTTAGTATAGTGATCCCTACTGAGAAAGCTGTAATTTGTAAGAGTTTCGTCTGCTATGTTCACATTATGTTTGTTTATGTTTTGACTTCATACGGTTGTACTTAGTAAAACAAGAAAATTGTAGTTTACAAACAGAGTAAACTTGTCCGTCTTCACTCTTCATCTTGCGGAGACATTATAGACACATCTTTACAGTCTTTTACTATTTTCATTAAATAAACTCTAGCAGACATAATAATATTATGGCTTTTGAAATTAGGTATTACAATGCTAATTTATAACAAAGACGATATCGAATTCCTCACTGAATTCCCATGTTTTTTAGGACACCCTGTAGATAGATATCTGAAGAAAATGGATCAGCAACATTAATATTATAAACTATAAATACTCGAAGCACCAATTAATCTTAATGATATATTTATGTACGTACCGAGCACGTAGTTCTTTTCTATTTCTTTGTCCGTTGAATCACCAAAGTAGAAATGTCTCTCCTATTTAGTTACAAAAAAATGTTTGAAAATTATAAAATATAAGTATTTTTTGGGTTTGATTCCTTTAAACAGAAAAAAAGTTCCACATAAAGAAAAATGCTACAAAATCTAGTTTCGCTCAAGAAGAAAGAAAAAGTAAACATCAAATTTTAAACGAAATTACATAAAAATTTAGATCACTTTCATAAAAAAAATTATTTTTCTTTATTTCTTTATTACCTCATTTGTCATGTCTTGATGTAAACTGATGGATTTTCCAAGTACATTATCCAGTCCGAAGACCAGCAGAAGAAAAATCATTTTTTCTTAGCATATTAGCATGAGAGTTTTTTTCAAGAAATTAGTCAATTGTCCGCTTACAAATTTCAGAGAAAAAGTTCAAAAAATACCAAATTTTTGGGATGTATAAAGCTTTAAAATTTACAAAACAATTTTACAGGTTATAAACTAAATGAACTAAAGCAAGAAACCAACTAAAAAACCTTCAAATTGATAAAGCTAATTTTTGGACTGATTCTTTGGCAGTAATTTTTTTGTATTAAATACTTTTAAATTGGATTCAAAATCTATATTTATCACAAAACATCCAATAAAATTAGATCAAAAAAGATAAAATTCGCCAATTCTTTAATTCTCCAAGCTTGAAATGAGTGATTTTGATTTGTTCAATATTTGTTAAGGTATGACTGCAACAACCTTTGTGAATGGTTGGTTTAATTCCAATATTGATTATGTTAACAGTAAGCGTATGTTAAGCAACCCTCCGTGCAATGTCCAATTCACAAAAGTATACCCTTAAAAGCTTTGTCTAATCAAGTATAAGTTATATATCAATGTTCATCATTTTGAAAACTGAGTTGCGCATTTCTACTACAGGAAAACATGTGTATGAAATTGAATTATTAGAATTAAAACCCAGAAAAACGAAAAATTATCCAGATTGATCAGATACAAGTTTAAAGGGTTACTCGAAAATACGCTTACAGGCTTACAAAATATCGTTTTATTTCATTACAAAAGAGTAACTAATCTTTATTTGCTTGTCTGTCTGTCTAATTTGTTTGTTTGTGTCCAATAAACGTCAAAAAATCTGTACCTTAAGGAAAATTTATGAAGGTTGAATTTAAACAATAGTCTGGAAAAAATTAGACATTTGTTATATTTGAAAATGCATAAACTTCAAAAGAAAAATCTGCGACAATGTTTGTTTATTGTAGAGTACGAGTAAAAAAGCGAATTTAAAAGCGATAGTTAAAGCTTTAATTGTTCCCAGAAAACGGATTTAAACCTGGTTATTAAAGAATTGGCTTTTGCTTAACGAGCTTAACCCTTTATGGTGATTTTTGGTGATTCATCAAAATGCTAAATTTTCTTGAGATATACGATTGTAAAATTTCATAGAAGCATATTTGTTTGCTTACAAGTATAGACAAATAAAACACTTAAAACCGAACAGCCTTAGTGCTTGTGCAGTTGAATCTTAACTAATTTTAAATAAAAATGAGAGTTTTGTAGAAAAGATTGAATAGTTCTAGATCTGTCTGATCCAAGGTTGTAAAATCAGGACACAGTGATTATATAATTACAACATTTGATTTATGCAGGTAATTATTCTTATTCAACTCAAGTGCACAAGGAAGAAAGTACACATCTTCTTCTTTTAACATTTTTTCCCTGTAGTTTTTCGTACACAAAGTAGTAATCTCTGTTTGTATGTCCGATCATAACTCATGAACTTCTGGACCGATTTGTCTCAAACTAGACTGGAGGGGAACCCAGGCTAAAGTATGTGTCTCACTACAAGACAGGCAGCTAGCTAAAGTATTTTTCTCACTACAAGACAGGCAGCTAGCTAAAGTATGTGTCCCACTGCAAGACAGGTAGCTAGCTAAAGTATGTGTCTCACTGCAAGACAGGCATCTAGCTAAAGTATGTGTCTCACTACAAGACAGACAGCTAGCTAAAGTATGTGTCTCACTACAAGACAGACAGCTAGCTATAGTATGTGTCTCACTACAAGACAGGCAGCTAGCTAAAGTATGTGTCTCACTACAAGACAGGCAGCTAGCTAAAGTATTTGTCTCACTACAAGACAGGCAGCTAGCTAAAGTATGTGTCTCACTACAAGACAGGCAGCTAGCTAAAGTATGTGTCTCACTGCAAGACAGGCAGCTAGCTAAAGTATGTGTCTCACTACAAGACAGGCAGCTAGCTAAAGTATGTGTCTCACTACAAGACAGGCAGCTAGCTAAAGTATGTGTCTCACTACAAGACAGGCAGCTAGCTAAAGTATGTGTCTCACTACAAGACAGGCAGCTAGCTAAAGTATGTGTCTCACTACAAGACAGGTAGCTAGCTAAAGTATTTGTCTCACTGCAAGACAGACAGCTAGCTAAAGTATGTGTCTCACTGCAAGACAGGCAGCTAGCTAAAGTATGTGTCTCACTGCAAGACAGGCAGCTAGCTAAAGTATTTGTCTCACTACAAGACATACAGCTAGCTAAAGTATGTGTCTCACTACAAGACAGACAGCTAGTTAAAGTATTTGTCTCACTACAAGACAGGCAGCTAGCTAAAGTATTTGTCTCACTACAAGACAGGCAGCTAGCTAAAGTATTTCTCACTACAAAACAGGCAGCTAGCTAAAGTAATGACAAAATGTAAACAAATAAGTAAAAGTGAAATAAAAATTTTGGATGAAAAAATTCATGACGATAAAGATCCTTCAAAATAATTTGCAGTACATATTTCCATGATTTTTTTCCGCAAAACCTTTTTAATGCTAGTAATTAGTACTTCTTTTCCAAATACTTTTTTGATTGTGACTTGATTGATTTCATGCATTATATAAAAGTCATTGAAAATTATACATTCCACTGAAATATACATAAGTGTTATAACAATTAAGATTTTCATGGACATTGTAAAAAGTATCTATAAATTATAAATAGAAAAATTAAAATTGTTCATTATTTATTTTTCAAAAAAAATTTAAATTTTTATTGAATATAGTAAAGAATATCCTAGAATTAAAATAAAAATAGAAAATTGAAAAGTTTTTTCAATTTTTTTGTGCATAAAATTTAGATTTTATTGAATATAGTATTAAGAATATCCTTTAAATAAAAATAAAATTGAAAAAAAAGGTTTCATATTTTTTTGTTCAATAGATTTTATTGGACATTGTAAAGTGTTTTATGTTAAAAATAAAAAACTAAAAAAAGTTTTTCTTATTTATTTTGTGTAATTACAATTTAGATTTTAGTTTTTCCATAATTGTTTTCACATTGTTTTCAGGTGTTCTTTCGTCGGAGTTATCAAGATCTCTCGCAGCCTGTAAAAATCATTGACCTACTTGAAATATCGTCAAATTCAACCTTTTTAAAAATTTTAAAAGTATTAACTTTATGATTAAAATGAATTAGATTAAAATAAAGCTTTAAAATGTATTTTATGTACATAAATAAAGTGGTAACCTAGAATTCGACTTTTAAACTAAAATTATGTAAATATATTCCAATGAAGGTAATGTCGTCTTCCTATTCTACAGATTTCTGGTTATCACTGTTTTTAATATAAATAAAAACTTTTCTCATTCGATTGAACTTCTTTCAAAAACATATAAATTTTACAAAAGCGAAGAGATAGCGGGGGATTTGATTATATTAAAATCTATGATTTTGACATGTGAAGAGGGGTCGGGAGGAGGGAGGGGGGATTTAGGGTTGATTTAGGGAGTGATTGTTTTACCTGGAATAACCTGTGATACACCCAACCATCAAAGCTTCCCAGGGTTGATTGTAAAACCTTAAAACATATACTACTAACTTTAATGGTTAGGTTGCAAGGGAGGATTTAAAACTAGTTCAAAAAGTACGTCGGAAAAATATTCAAAAATAATTTATTTTTATTTTGACAATTATTAATATGTGACACATGTTATTAATTCCATTTTTCAAGCCCTTTAGCTTAATTATTAAAAAGTATTTTTGACTTTTTTAAACGGCCCGCCGTTTGACTGTCCTCCAAACTACCCTATGCATCAAAAAAAATTTGGCGTTCTAATGTAAGTTGTTTAAAGTTATTTAGAAAAAACCACAGGGTGAAGGGGGGGGGGCCGGGTGGAAAACACCCCGCACACCCGACCGTTATAGATTTAAGCAATCTTATATCTATTTGATGTTCCTGAGAAGCAGATAGTTTACCAGCAGCTTGATAATCAATATATTAAAAGAACTGTAAACGTTATTTCAAAACACTCTCCATTGATAGAGTGGCATGTCAGATTGACAACGGTATTCTTAAAAAGTGATTTGCGAATTTCTTGATTCAGAAACTATAGAGAAATTATCAGAATTAAAACTTTTTAGATCAGAAAAACGACATTATCTTCCACGTTGCGGATCAGATTAAGATTGGAGATGCCCCTCTTTTTTAGTGTTAAAAATGTAAATTTGAGTTTGACACTTCTATTCACTCTACCTCATCTTTGAATTCAAAGGCATCAACAATTCCAACAACATTTGGCCTAAACATTTCAACATATTTTCATCTTAGAGACAGACATAAAATTTAAAATTTGAATTAAATTTGATTATTTTCCAATTTTTTTATTTTCAAATCAATAAAATAATTTTTGATTTTTATCAAAAACTTTGCTTTTAAATGGAAATCCAAGCTATTAATATAATATTATAAAGATTTATTGACTGATATATAAACAAATATTAATGGCGAAGTTTCAATTTTTTTCAAAAACTTTGACAACAATATGCTAACTTTTATGATTTTTTTGATGATGTGTTACATTTTTTATAGCAAACTTCAAGAGAGAAAAATAAATGTACTTAACCTAAGATGCTGTAGAAGCGTATCTCTATCAGATCTTAGCCTATCAAGATGAGTAAAATCCATGTTAGCAAACCGGATAAAATCAGCGGCATTCTTAACAACAATCAATCAGTCAGTTAAGCAATCTATCAATATCAATAAATCAATAAGTCAATCAACTAATCAGTATCAAGGAATTTATCAAGATATGTCAGGCAACAATTTACTTTTTTTTACAAAAAAATACTTAAATAATTCGTTAAAAAATGTATTTAGTATTAAAAACATGTTTATGTCCCAACTTACAATTGATGACAGATAGATTAAAGGAGAAATATCTTAAAATAACAATAAGAAAGAAATATTAAAAAACTACAAGAAAGAAATATAAAAAAACAATAAGAAAGAAATATAAAAAAAACAATAAGAAAGAAATATAAAAAAACAATAAGAAAGAAATATAAAAAACAATAAGAAAGAAATATAAAAAACTATAAGAAAGAAATATAAAAACGATATTAAGAAAGAAATATAAAAACTTTAAGAAAGAAATATAAAAAAACTATAAAAAAAAGAAATATAAAAAACTATAAGAAAGAAATATAAAAACAATAAGAAAGAAATATAAAAAACGATACGAAAGAAACATAAAAACTATAAGAAAGAAATATAAAAAAATAAGAAAGAAATATTAACCAAAGTTTTTTCTTTACAAAAAAAATACTTAAATAATTCGTTAAAAAATGTATTTAGTATTAAAAACATGTTTAGTCCCAACTTACAATTGATGACAGATAGATTAAAGAAGAAATATCTTAAAATAAAACAAATAAATACAATAAAAATAAATAATAAATAAAAACAATAAGAAAGAAATATAAAAAATGATACGAAAGAAACATAAAAACTATAAGAAAGAAATATAAAAAATAAGAAAGAAATATTAACCAAAGTTTGTGCTTTAAGAAGCCCTTCAAACCCAAACGCCATTATCATGTCGTTTTTTAATTTGTAACTGTGTTAAGCTGATTAATGTTTATGTTATATTTTCAAATAGATCAACTTTTTTTGGTAATCCTTTGCAATATAATTAAGAATTAAAAGAAGGAACAAGGACAACAATCATTAAACATGTTCAATATTAATTCTGCAAAAACCTAAAATGGTGTTTTCGAGGAATCCAATTATATAGAAACCCATCTTTAATTAGTTTGAACAAGTTCATATTTATTAAGACATGGGTTTAACCTATTTTATATATTGTTAATACTTTTTTAGACAGGGTCGACTTTGAAGTGTCGGAACTAGGCCTTTAATTTTATATTTGTAGCTCTCTTTATTTGTTTGTCTATATGTGTATATATTTTGCCCAATAGACATGTAAATTTTAAAACTTGAACTTGTTTGATCCTAGCTTTAGTTTAACAGGAGTAATTGGAAAATGCCGAAAGATGTTTGCATGACAGTTTGCACTTTTGAATGCAGTGCACTGAAAACTCTGGTTCTTTTGAAGTACCGGGCTGACTTTTAAGCTGATAGAATTGTTGTATAGTATGTATTGTACAGATCGCAGGCTTTAGACGGCAAAACGGGGACGGTACACCAGGCAACATTTGTTGCATAAAACTTGCAGGGTCGACTCTACACTTTGTAGTCCATACAAGACTCACGAGTAAATGTATACACAGTACATGCTGTACTGATTGGATCTGAAAAGGTCAGAGAGTACACGTCTCAACTGTGCACTACCTGCAGAATCCACGTGGAAGCTAATAATCTGAAAAGGTCAGAAAGTACACGTCTCAACTGTACACTAACTGAAGCAGAAGCAATGCCTGGAAAAGAGATTTTTAAAATTTTGACTTTCTGATTCCTATATTTTTGCAACCTAATGTTGTAGGATTGTTTAAAAACCACGATTGAGTTCAAATTGATCAGAAACCAAATTTCTTAGATCTATAAATAAAGGTATTGTGCAAAAAAAATCGAAATTAGGATTCTATGTATTTTTACGGGGGGGGGGGGGTATATCCTATATCCTGTATATATATATATATCCTCAGATTAGTGAAAATGTTTGCCTTTACTACTAAACATACCTTGTGCAAATTCAGAGACTACAAAACTCCTAAAAATATTTTTAAAAACGTTAGAAACTTTTATAATTTAAAAATAATTTTACATTTTGGATTGAATAAAAGGGACTGTAGGCGTAGTTTGTGTTATCCTACATTTATAAAGCGCATGTCAGATTCACAGCGGTATCCTTTAAACCTACCAGGTGCGTCCACTTTGTTTTGCGATTTTTTAAAGGTACTTCTAGACGTCTCACCCCTTTAATGTTTTATAAAGGTACTTCTAGACGACTCATCCCTTTAATGTTTTATAAAGGTACTTCTAGACGTCTCACCCCTTTAATGTTTTATAAAGGTACTTCTAGACGTCTATTTATATATACATATAAATATATTATATTTGTAATCTGCGTTTCAGCAAACCAATTTGTATGTTTTCCCAAGACCTCTTTAGGGCAAATAATGTCCAAATCTTTGCCATTTTTCAAATCTTGCTTAACAACTTTTAATACTGCACCATTTTAAATGCGAAACTCATCAAACTAAGAAGATTCGCGAATATTCCATGAGAAACTGTCAATTTTGTAGACTGTTTGTGGGGTTTTTGTGGATTTTTCCTGCTCAGACACCCCTCTTTCTGTCAAAACTATCCATTACACTTTCCCCTTGTAGTCCACATGTAGACTGTTGCCTCATCTATATTATTATTCTCTAATTCATGTTAAATCTTGTCAAATATGTCTGCTTTGTATTTGGAAAGTTTTAGGCCCAACTTGTTTTGTCCTCTTTCCCAGGTTTGCATTGAAAACGTTCCTGTGCTGATGACAACGGAGCTAAACAACCTCCGGGAAAATGCGAATTACATAGAAATAAAAAGTTTGAATAAAGTCCGTTGAGAGAACACAACCAGGTTAGGTACAGTGACCTATGAAAATAAATTAAAGGGCTGAAACGTCTAGAAATACCTTTAAAGTACCTTCTTTCTACAAATTGATTTTTTTCAAATGCGGTTTCTTTTAAAAAGCGACTTGCGGTATTCTCGCTACAGAAACAATGCAGAAAATTGTGAAAATCAAAGACTTTTTAATTTATTACCAGTACGCTACCTTCAAAAATATTAATACAGATAAAGGTTTAAAGGGCCCGGCACTGTTGTAAATCGGGCATAGTCCTTTTAAAATAGAGGGTTCCATCTATTTACGACGAGAATATATTCTTTTGGATCAGTTTAAATCATGATAGGATTTGTATTGCTTGAATTTAGAACAGTGACAAATCAAACTGAAGTGAATGAATTATAAGATTTGTGGCAACTTTCCTAGCATGCATATCAGCAGTTTCTACTGATAGTATAGGGTTGGCTGATGTAGATCCAAGAAGACTTTGTACTTTACCACTTGACACCTAAACAAAAATTGATGTTTGTCGATGAATGCTTAAACCAGTGATCGACAGGTTATCAGGTTTTATGGTTCAATTAATTTTAATTAATTTTACTTCGATTTGTTATGGTTAAAAACGTCTTACACTTAAGAGCGCAGGACCCATAAAAATCCACGGAGTGGCATTATTCCACTCCTAGCTCAGATCGTAAACAATATTTCCTAACATTTTTTTACATATACGATGTAGATACTTTAAATGACGATTTTTTGCCGCTAGTTGTCTCTCCTAAGCTAGTGAAATCCTTGATTTATCAAGAGACGAGACACCATGAGCGTCAAATGTTGTTACTTTTTATCTTGGTGAAGTATTATCAGAAACAAAATCTTGAAAATATTTTATAATTCACTCACTTTCTCAAAAAGTTCCACAAGTCCAAAGTCTGAGATAATGTCTACTGTGGGTTTATGGTTGAATGAGTTACTCAAGTAGCTGACTGAGCCTGGCTGGGGAATACCCTCTAGAGCCTGTTTTCCACTCTTTATAAGGAACCTGGAGAAAATAAAAATATTAAATACATTTTCCGTAACTTATGTGTTTAATAAGATATCTTATGTGGTACAGTTGGCTGATGACGATATTTAGGCATCTTGTGTTTATTTGATGCTTTTATAGAGCAAATTTTTTCCTTATTAGCATAAAAGTCAACTCTCAAGAACTATAGCTTAAATCTAATATTACATATTGTCTTTCTATTCTACAGTTTTATGAGCTCATTTTAAAGGAAAACTGAAGGTAATTTCTTTCTAAAATAGTTTAAGTCTTAAAATTAGAAATGTTTTCAATAGTTTTGTTTACAAACACTTTACCATTTTCATGTAAAAAATCAAAGCTGTTACAAAGTACAAAATCTTTAAATACATTTCTAAGAACATAAATAGATCAAAGACGATATTTTATCAATATGTTTTGATATAATTTTATTGAATATTCATTTCTTGCCATTCTATCTTTTAAATAAAAGAATGTTTTTTTTAAAATTTTGTATGGTTACTGTCGGCTTATGAGATAATTCATTCAGACAAAATTAAGGGCTGTCTTTAGTACCGGTAACCACCAAAATAATTCTCTGAAAAATAGGTTTCGGAAATCAAGTCCTAAATTATGGCACTAAAATAGTCCTGTGGAAAAAGGCCTTAAAATGAAAAGTCTCTGGAAATAAAGTCTTTCCATTTGAGACTTAATTTTCTAGGCTACCTTGCTATCTGAAGTTGAAGCACAGTGTTCTCCCCTTCATATGTACATGCAGCAGATATCATTCCAAATATTCTAGGTAAAGCTGAGTTTGTCATGAAACCATGTCCACCACAGGACTTTCGTATCGTGTCAACTGCTATAGAGGACTCAGAGGTAATCAGTACCTTGTAAAGTAAAAATAGTCATTAAAGGGAATGCTAACGTAATTTAGTTGATTCTAATTTTTCAATGAGCAGTCTTTATAATTAATCTCTTCGCTTTTATAGGGCCAACCACGCAAAAACAACGTACGTTGGTTAGGCGGGTCCAAACTGCATAGTAAATTGTGATGAAAAATATGAAAATATATATTTGTCACTTCAGAGCTGTAGGCCAATAACAGTTGGACCAAATTGGCCGTTGCAAATAATTTGACAGTTTTAAACATATTGTTTGCGGGTTTATTGTTAGAAAATTAATTTATCTAAAATCACCTTCATAGCACAAGATAAAGCATGCAGCTCCGGTAGATTGTCATAATTTCCCTGGAATAGTTAGATTCTTGGCAAACAAATCGATAACAGTTTATTTTAAGTAAATCAAGTAAACATTTGTATTTTTTTTACTATGTAACGGTTAGTTTTAATTTCAGCGACACATGTCATGCTCTTGCACGCAAAATTCGTCAATATTTCTTTTAAAAGTATGTGCTATTTAGCGAGGTAAAATCAAGACATTGTGACATTTCAAAATGGACCAAGTCTTGAAAAATGTATACAACTTTTTGTAGAATGGTTTAAGGTCAGGGTTTGTCTTAAAGTTCACAAAATTGTCAATTTAAATTGTCTTAGCGTGTTCTTTTTCATCTATACAATTGAGTATGAATTTATAAATGTGATGGGCGGATTTTTGGTAATGACAATTTGGTAATGACAATTTGTTAATGACAATTTGGTAATGACAATTTGGTAATGACAATTTGGTAATAATGAGAGAAACAGCACATTATTAAACTTTTAATAGGCCGCAGCGCTCGGCCCCCTAGCCCATCCTAGCCGCAGCGCTCGGCCCAGAAATTGTCTTAACCTAACCTAACCCTAAATAATGTGATAAACAGCAAATTATTAAACATTAAATTGAATTAAATTTAACTTTTATGAACAAATTGTCACTTTTTTGTAGTTACCAAAATGTCATAACCAAATTGTCACTTTTTTGAAGTTACCAAATTGTCATTACCAAATTGTCACTTTTATGACGTTACCAATTTGTCATTACCAAATTGTCACTTTTATGACGTTACCAAATTGTCATTACCAAATTGTCACTTTTGTGAGCTTACCAAATTGTCATTACCAAATTGTCGTTACCAAATTGTCATTACCAAATTGTCATTACCAAATTGTCATTACCAAATTGTCATTACAAAATTGTCATTACCAAATTGACATTACCAAAAATCCGCCCGTCATAAATGTATCTCCTCATTTTTTAATTTTGATCTTTAATTATGATTTAAAAACGCTAATTTTGGAAAAAATACCTGTTCAATTTCATTTTGTACATTGTTGTACAAATCCCATAGGGTGGAACTTGCAATATGAAATCCAACTAAAAAACAAAATTAATTTAATGATTTTCATTTATAGAAGATCTTGTTTAGAGGCTTAAAGGTACTGTACGCGTTATAGCAAGTGAACCTCTTTGCAAATATGACAATGCCCTTGAAACCGTTAACTAATTAATAAAATGAAAGATATTACCGTTTTTCTAGGTTAAAAAGTACTTAATTCAATTTTTCTTATATGTTTTCCTGCAGTAGTAATACGTACGTCACTTTTGTAGAGAAACCATCATTGTAAATAATCAGTTTTCAAAATTATAAAGTTTGATATCCTATTCATACTTAACTAGACAAAGCTTTTAAGGGTACCGTTGTAAATCGGGTATTGTCTATCCTCCTATTTCAAGTAAACCTACTTTTAAAGAGTTACACGTCTGATTCACAAGAAACCCCATTGAACCTTTGTTTAAGAGTTCTCCTTAGTTCCTTAACAAGGAAGAAAATTGACGGAAACTTTTTGATTTCAACATTGAAAACAACGATATCTTCCTCATTGCCAATCAGATGGGGATTAAAAGGGTACCGTTGTGAATCGAAAAAGTAACTCTTTTAGAAGAGGTTTTTAAAATCGGGTGGACATTCCCTTTAACATCTCATAGTTTACCGGCCATAGCTAGTGCTGGGATGAGTTTAGCTTGTTGGGTTGGATAATCTAGTATTTTAGGTTCTAGCTGCCCTTCATCAGCTTCTCCTTGTCTTCTTACAGCACTATACCTAGACATTAGACAATAATCTAGTATTTTAGGTTCTAGCTGCCCTTCATCAGCTTCTCCTTGTCTTCTTACAACACTATACCTAGACATTAGACAATAATCTAGTATTTTAGGTTCTCGCTGCCCTTCATCAGCTTCTCCTTGTCTTCTTACAGCACTATACCTGGACATTAGACAATAATCTAGTATTTTAGGTTCTCGCTGCCCTTTATCAGCTTCTCCTTGTCTTCTTACAGCACTATACCTAGAAATTAGACAATAATCTAGTATTTTAGGTTCTAGCTGCCCTTCATCAGCTTCTCCTTGTCTTCTTCCAGCACTATACCTAGACATTAGACAACAATCTAGTATTTTTGGTTCTAGCTGTCCTTCATCAGCTTCTCCTTGTCTTCTTACAGCACTATACCTAGGCATTAGACAATTAGACAATAATCTAGTATTTAGGTTCTAGCTGCCCTTCATCAGCTTCTCCTTATCTTCTTACTGCACTATACCTAGACATTAGACAGTAATCTAGTATTTTAGGTTCTAACTTTTCTTCTTTAGCACTATACTTGGACAAGAATAGGGCCGGTTGGATGAAAACAGACGTATATAAAGAGGATATTAGGTATCAGCACCCTGGAGCAGTGATATCTATGGTAGTCCCCCCTCTCAGAAAGATAAAAAATAGAGGACTTGGTAAAATTCTTGTCTACGGCCCTATATTAAGAAAAGATTTAAAATCCTCAGACTGAATCTTTTGATGAGATAGAGCTTAGAAACATAGTTTGAACTCGTTGTCAAGAGCGTAAACTTTTAAATGTGAATATCTAAGTTAAAGTCCCTGTATATAAAGTCCCTGATTACAAAGTCCCTTAATATAATGTCCCTGAATATAATGTTCCTGAATATAATGTTCCTGAATATAAAGTCCCTGAATATAAAGTCCTAAATATAAAGTCCCTGAATATAAAGTCTCTGAATATAAATTCCCGGAATATAAAGTCCATATAAATTCCCTGGATAAACGGAAAATGTATCGAAAGATAATTAAGCATAGACGAATACGCCAATAGAAATAAAAAATGACTGCGATTTAAAAACAGATTTAAGACTGAAACCCACAGAGTAGAAATATAAATTCAGATATAAAGAAATTGATTCTTTGTCACAAACTAAAATTTTCTTATCCCCATATATTTGCAACCTGATGCCGAATTTAAAGAATTTGAGACGCGGCTTAAATTTAAGCCGCGACTCAAATATGGTTGGTTCCACTTAAAATCGTATTCAATGTTTCAAGATTTAAGCCGGCGCTCAATTGAAACCGTTTTTTTGGGGATTTAAGAAGCGGCTCAAATTCATTGAATTCGGACTCTGATAGCGTGAAGCTTTAACATTTCAAACGTAGATTATTTGATTCAACAGAATTCATAATTCAAAACATCAAAAGTCTACATGGCATTGGGTTACAAAGATAAAGGGAATAAAAAACCAGAGTTTGTGGCAAAAACATATGTTTATAATTGTAACATTTAATCCCTTGATATCGTTACAATCCCAGACATAAATCCTAGGGAAATCAAGATCAATCATTGCCCCCCATCTTGGAGGGTTAATGCAAGAC